GAGGAGGGTTGAGCCCTCCTAGTCTAGGCAGCACCAAAAATAGTGTGATGATGGCGGATCGTCAGGAAACTCTGGCGGGGGCCTACAGAGCTTGGACTGGATCTGGCTCGTTGACACAGCAGCAGGGTCTCTTTTGACGTCAGTGGCAGATTGGCGTTCGTCGGCGAACAGCCAGCGACTGGGTAGAGTGGCAGAGGGCGGCTCCGGCGAGTTTATGGTGGAGTTCCGGAGGAAGAGGCTGCAGTCGAACCAAGAGTCGAGAGACTTTGGCGGAGTGCTCAGCGATAGCTCGTAGTAAGGCAAAGCAAGCCCCTTTCGTCACGACAGTGTGATGGGGTTCTGGCAGAGGTGGCGGTGGCTGCAGCGGCAGCCACGACCGTTTCGTTCGGTGATGGTGGCAAGCTCCCTGGTGGCAATGAGATGGCCGGCGGCAGCAGTGGTCTTAGGTGGTAGTGGGACCTCCCCCCTACTTGAGTCTTGCATTGTCTCTAATGCATGCAAATGAAGGAAGAGATAACCTCCCCCCTACTTGAGTCTTGCATTGTCCTTAATGCATGTGAGAGAAGGGAAAAGAGAAGAAAATTCTGATTTTTATGCCCCATCTACTACACTGTTGCCCCTGAATAGTTCTAGCTAAAGCACTCGGCCAATAAAATATGTCCTAAACAAAAGCTAGTAAGGAAATGCATAAAAAGAAATGATAGTTCTCCTCACGATAAAATATGTGCATACACACAAATAGATCAAGTCCTCAAATATTTGCTAGAGACTAGCCAATCACCTCTCTCTATGTCCTAAGTACATTAAGTAATCTATTCTCTTGATCCTTAGACAAATATGATGATATAATCATTGGATAAGTTTGATGTTAATCAAAAAATACATGCTTTAGTGAAGATGGTTGATAAGTCTTCATTATCACGAGTTAATAATTAATTAATAATATAGTTTTAATCTAAACTCATGATAAATAGACTTATATTTATGTCAAATTATAAAAAATAGTTTTTAGTTGGTTAATTTGGCTAATTATGAAATTTTATGTGAATTTATATAATTTTAATAATCTTATTTTTGAGGTAAATGAAGAGAAATAAAATAAAAAGATAGAAGAAAGAGGAAACTTGTCACCTAGTCAAGCCCACAAGCAAGTTGGAAGTATAGACAAGCAGAATCGTAAGGACTTGAGTGGCTAAAGACGGACTAATAGGGGACATGTGAGTCACTCCCCTTCCACATCATCAATGGCCAGTTGAGCATGCAATAAAGAGTGGCCGTACACACGTGAGAAAAGGACACATTGATTATCAAGTCTAGTATTACTATATATCAACCTCAAAACTCGGCATATAATCAATGTGGGACTAAACTTGGGGTCACAACCTCCAAAAAGTTTTAATAATTTTAATATCCTTTGTTTAGTAAACCATAGAAATTTAAAATTTATAAAACTAGAAAACACTAATTTTTAGATATTTAGAAGTATTTTTAAATAGTTATATCAATTATAATTTAATGAAAGTTCTAAAAATAGTAAAAATTTTCTAGGTCAATCACAGGGATATAATATAATGTCAGGTAATATTTCAGAAATGTTCTCAAAGAATATGATTTTTTATGAATTTTAAATTAAAAAAGAAAAGAAAATATATTTCAAATTTGTGAAAAAGGGAAATAAATGTGTAGATGTCAAGATGATGTCAACACCTAATGAATGTGAATCAGGCAGAAGTAGAGTTCTGCCTGGTGATTTTTACATAAACGATTATAGATGATTTAATTAGTCAAATTAAGATGCTAAGTTTCTAGTTTTATAAATTCAAAATTTGTGTGGTTTACTAAACAAGGGATATTTTAAATATTAAATTATTAAAACTTTTCAGAGGCTATGACCCCAGGTTTAGTCCCACATTGGTTATATGCCGAGTTTTGAGGTTGATATATAGTAGTACTAGACTTGATAATTGATAAGTCTTCATTATCATGAGTTAATAATTAGTAAATAATATGGTTTTAGCCTGAACTCATGATAAATAGACTTATATTTGTGTTAAAGTGTGAAAAGTTGTTTTTAGTTGATTAATGTGAATTGTTGGGTAATTATGTGATTTTATATGATTTTATATGATTTTTATAGTCTTACTTTTGAGATAAATGAAGAAAAATAAATTAAAATAAAAATAAGACAAAATGAGGGAACCCTCCAGCCTGCAAGCAAGTCGGAAGCACAGTTGGGGAGTAGCCATGAGCAGGGGCTTGAGCAGCTTGGACCGATTGGGCACATGTGCACCACCCCCCTTCCACGTCAGTAGTGGCCAGCCAACTGTGGGGCAAGGAGTGGTCTTACACGTGCAAGAAAAGGACTTGATCGGAAATGTAGTATTACTATATATTCACAAGAAATTTTGGCGCACAATCGATGTGGGACTTTTTTAACCCCCCTCACATCTCCCTAGAAAGGGTAGGGGGGCAACTGGCGCAAGTTCGAATCCTCCTAGAGCCAAAATTCATATTTTGTTTATTTATTTATCGCAACTTTCTTGTAGATCACCGATGAAGGATTAAGCAATCAAAATCACAAGATCATCAGCAAAAATTTCGTCAACGTAATTCACGGAGCATTGTTACTAAAATTATTGAATGATTCACAATAAAAAATTGTGAATCCATTGAGTAACACATCTCTGATTAATCGACGAACAAGCTATTATTGGGAAGAGGACGATTTGTTAGAAGACGAGTCACCACCTCTTGAGAGCATACTAGATGCGATGAAGAGCCTCCTCTTGCTATGCGGATCTGAGGATGAAGCTTCCTAACATGTGCCCCACCTCCATCTAGCTCTACTCTGCCAGGTGACAGCCGCCAGAGACGATTCGACAAGTCATTTCATTGATCTCTAAACTTCGCAAGGAGATCTAGAGATTGCCCACATCATCTTTGTCCAAGGAGAGTCTTCAAGGCTATGGACACTGCATGACGATCTTCCCGAACACTTAAGATTCTAGTGCATCGCTGACGCATCACCGTCGCAATGCCGGAACTCTATTTTCTTGTTTTCAACTTTATTTTCCTTTCATTTAGTGATAATTTATTTATTTTAAATTTACAAAGATATACTTCATTTCATTACGATTCTTCCAGCTTTTTGAGATCTTAACTTGATCAATTAAATTGTCTGTAATCACTTATGTAAGAATTGCCGAGCGGAATTCTATTTTTGCCCGATTTGCATTCACCAAGCGCTCATATCATCTTGACATCTACACCCCTATTTCATTTTTTCATAAATTTTAACTATATTTCCTTTTTATTTACTAGTATAAAATTTATAGAAAATAGTATTCTTTGAGGATAATTTTGAATAATTACCAGATATTATATTACAACCCTTTGATTGACCTAGAAAATTATGCTATTTTAAGAAGTTTTATTAAATTATACTTGATATATTTATTCAAAAATACTTCTAAATATTTGAAAATTTATATTTTCTAGTTTTATAAATTTTAAATTTACGTGATTTACAATACGATGACTAAGTCATGTCAAATTTTGGCACTATTGCTAGGGATGTATTGCATAATATTTAGTATTTTTTTATTTCTCTTAGAGTACATAAAAATTTTTAACTCTTATTTTATTTTCTGTTTGCCATTTTTTTTTTTTAAAGGGAACGAAGAGAAGCAAGGCAAGGACTAGAACATATTGAAGGAGGGTAACAATTACTAAACTTTTCCCTTGATTCTATTAATTTTTTTATGTATGGTAGAAGATCCTTGCATCCAAGGCTAGAAAATCCTTTCATTATTTCATTCAAAAATAAAAATCCGAAAGAAAAATTAATTTTGATGGATCTTGAAGGAAATACAGGTCAAACTAAGAATAATCCTATGGCCATGAAAAATCATTATATCCCTAATTTATTTCAAAGAGCATCAAATATTAGAGTCCCATTAGCACCCACTATTAAATTCGAAATAAATCCAAGAATTTTTCAATTGTTCCCTAATTTTCATGGTTTGCCTTTGGAAGAACCTCATCAGCACTCTGAAAAATTTCATATGGTCTGTGATTTAGTTAATCTCCCTCAAGTTACATCAGAAATTATTAAGATGAAATTATTTCTTCATATACTTAGGGACAAAGCTAGCCATTAGCTATTCACATTAGATAGAGAAATAACTAACTGGAAAGACATAGAACAGACTTTTCTTCAAAAATTTTATCCCTTAAGAAAAACTCAAAATATGAGAAAACATATATAGAGTTTTCCTCAAAGATCAAGAGAAACTTTACATGAGACATGGGAAATATTCAAACATTTACTTAGAAAGTATCCTCATCATGCTATACCTAAGTGGCAACTCAATAGAATTTTTTATGATAGATTATTAGAACAACATAGAAATATGGTTGACTTTATATGTGGAGGAACTTTTATGGAGAAAACTCCTGATGAGATTTATAGTCTTTATGAGAATTTAAGTGAAAATTTTAGAGATCAAGTCTCTTTTGAATTATATGATAGGGATAAGAAGAGAAGAATTTATGAATTACATCATGATGATGATTCTAAATTTACAAATGAGATTAATCAGATTAATGAAAGATTAGAAAAACTTGATTTACTTATTGACAATATTAGAAAGCCTCTTAACCCTCAATTTGATTCAAATAGTACATGTCCTATGTATGGTGAAAATGATCATTTCGAATTTCAATATCATCATAGGCAAGAACAAGTGCAGATATCCCATGATTTTAGTAAAAATAAGAAATATTTTTATAATTCTTATAATCCTAATTGGGGGAATAATTTTTCGTGGAGAAACCCAAATAATATTCAAAATCTAGAAACACTTAGATCCAATTAAAATTTTAAATTTCGTCCAAAACAAGAACATAGATTTTAGAAAAATTGGTCCTCTCAAATCTAACCTGATGCTATGGAAATGATACAGCAAATGAGCCAAATGATGCAACAAACTATGAATCAAATGATGCTGCATCAGAAACAAATTATAGAGGCTCTTGGAATAAGAGAGAAGAGGGATAGCTACCTAATCAGCCCATAGAAAATCTAGGGAACTACCCAACAATAGGATTTCAGCAAGGGGAGTCTAGTAGCATGAATCTAAGAAAAAACCCACAAAATAAAAATGTTAGGACAGTGACGTGACTCAGTCGTTGTATGTTAAATCACGCAAATTTAAAATTTATAAAACTAGAAAATACGAATTTTCGGATATTTAGAAGTATTTCAAAATAAATATATCAATTATAATTCAATAAAAATCCCAAAAATAGTGGTAATTTTCCAGGTCGATCACAGGGATGTAATATAATATCTGGTAATTATTCAGAATTTTTCTCAATGAGTACGATTTTCTTACGAATTTTATACTAGGAAATAAAAAGGAAATATATTTAAAATTCACAAAAAGAAAAGGAAATAAGGGTGCGGACGTCAGGATGACATCAGCGCCCGGCGAACGCGAATCAGGCGGAAACAGAGTTCCGCCCGGCGATTCTTACGTAGGCGATTACAGACGACTCAATTAATCAAATTAAGATCTGTAAAAGCCGGAAGAATCGTAATTGAACGAAGTATAGTTTGGTAAATAAAAATCAACAAAGTATCACTAAATGAAGCGTAAATTAAATTGAAAGCAGGAAAACAGAGTTCCGGCGTCGCGACGGCGATGCGTCGGCGATGCACCGGAATCCTGAGCGTTCGGGAGGATCGTCGTGCAGTGTCCACGGCCTCGAAGGCTCTCCTTGGACAAAGACGACGTGGGCAATCTCTAGATAAAGCAGGAAAACAGAGTTCCGGCGTCGCGACGGCGACGCGTCGGCGATGCACCGGAATCCTGAGCGTTCGGGAGGGTCGTCGTGCAGTGTCCACGGCCTCGAAGGCTCTCCTTGGACAAAGACGACGTGGGCAATCTCTAGATCTTCTCGCGAAGTCTAGAGACCAATGAAGTGGGTCGTCGAATCGTCTCCGGCGGCTGTCACCCGGCGGAGCGGAAAAACGGCGACTTTGCGGCTCTCCGGCGGCTGTCACCCGACGGAGAGGGGCTGGATGGAGGTGAGGCGCGTGTTAGGGAGCTTCATCCTCAGGTCCGCGCAGCAAGAGGAGGCTCTTCATCGCATCTGGTACGCTCTCAGGAGGTGGCGACTGGTCTCCCGGCGGATCGTCCTCTTCCCGACGACGGCTTGTTCGTCGATCAATCGGAGATGATTTACTCGATGGATTGCGATCCTTTTATCGCGAATCGTTCAGAAATTTTAGTAGCAATGCTCCGCGAATCGCGTTGACGAGATTTTCGCCGATGATCCAGCGATTCCGGTTGCTTAATCCTTCACCGGCGATCTGCAGGAAAGTCGTGATAATCAGTTAAAAATATATGAATTTTGACACTGGGAGGATTCGAACCCGCGGCGGTCGCCCGCCCCTGAACAAGGTGTGACGCGGGTTTAGTCCCACATCGGTTGTGCGCGGATTATTTGGGCGAATATATAGTAAAGTTAGCTTTGTAGGCAAAATCCTCTCGCGTGTACGACCACTCGCCCCACAGCCGGCTGACCACCGGTGACGTGGAAGGGGAGTGGCGCACACGTGCCCCTATCGATCCAAGCAAGCCGCTCGAGCTCCTGCTCGCGGCTACTCCCCGACTGCGCTTCCGACCCGCTTGCGGGCCCGGTTGGCCGGCGGGTCTCCCCATTTTGCAATATTTTTATTTTTATTTCTTGTTCTTCGTTTATCTCAAAACTAAGACTGTAAAAATCGTATAAAATCACATAATTACCCAAAAATTCACGTTAATCAACTGAAAACCACTTTTCATGCTTTAACACAAATATAAGTCTATTTATCATGAGTTAAGGCTAAAACTATATTATTTACTAATTATTAACTCATGATAATGAAGACTTATCAGACAGTAAATATATTGAGTGAGAATATTTTATGTAATCTTTATTTCCAATTATTAGAAGAAATCGATGATCCATTAGAAGTAAATGAGAATATTAAGGTCGAAAATATAGTAGTAGAAAATTTGAGTAAAATTATTTATTGCTCACAATTGATGAATGAATATAGTGAGGATGATGAGGAAAAAGAGACCTAGATGAAGAAAGAGCAGCTGAGTATGGAAAAATCATCCAAATTTAAGTAGAAGGGAGTAAGGACAAAAATGAAGAAAAACATATTTTAGGTGAAGAAAAATCAGTTGATTTGGGAGATGTAGGAGACGAAATTAATAAATCTAATCATAATTTTGCAACCAAGGATGTTGATAGTGAAGATGATGATGTATATCATATACCGAAATTAAAAGATAACTCTTGGGAAGATGAAGAATTTGATGAGTTGAGAAACGAAAAGCTAGAAAAAGAATTGATTCAACTAATGGGGAGAAACGAAAATAATGAATATGAATATAGAGATAATTTTGGCGGAATAAATTTAAATTTTACTGAATTTATTAGATCTGAGATTAAAGAAGACAATCCTTCAATCCTTCAAAACCCATAGCCCATTAGAATTATTTCTAAGCTTGAAATATTTCACTCCTTGTAAATTGAATAAATATGTATGGAAGATAAAATGGAGTAGGGGAAGATTATGTAGATAAAAGAACACATTAAGAAATCGGTGAGTGGAAGAATTAGAGATATCAATTTAGATGAACAAATTTTAGATTGCATAAAAGCTAATTTGAAAATTATATGGCCTGATCACATTTTATGATCTATTAACAGAAAGTATTTATTAATGAATGAGAGCCTTACAAAACAAGATAGAAATGAGGAAATATTTTTTTAAAAATGAAAATATTATTTTTAGGAAAATTTTGTTAATTTCTATTTTATTTTGGCTGAAAGTATGTCAAGGTATATATGAAGTATATGAATTTATGCTAAAGCTGAAAAAGAATATCATGAAACTTATCTTGGGATACAAATACATTTTGATGGCCATAGATCATCTTATATGATCTAAGAGTTGTCTAGCTGAAGACATTAAATTCAGTGCTGCATGGGAGGCAACCAATGGTTTTTATCTCATTCTATTTGATTTTTTTTCTAAGCTCTATTTTTCTTTGAATTTTACAGTACTTGTTTATGTATTTGTTTTTTCGAAAAAGTGCAAGAGGAGGTAAGATGAAGTGGAAAATTAAAAACGAGGTTGAGCTGATGTCTTTTTGAGCTTTATCATTTATGAAAATATTTTTAATGCTTAACTTTACACATATGCATGCTTCACTTGAAAATTATATTTTCTACATATTCTGTTTTAATTTTTTTGTGTCATTGAGGACAATGTCATTTTTAAGTTGGGGGATGAAGTATTCATTATTAATTTATGCTATAGGATGATTAAGAACATGTGTTTGTCTTAGAATAGCAACTGAAAAAATACAAATAAAATAAAATTCGGTCAACTACAATATCTATTTTATGGTTTTCTATCAGGAACAAGACCCTGTCAAAAACGGTAAATAAAAACATCCTGAAATTTGAAATTCTAGAGACCTTTTCCTAACATTTCAATCCCCTAAACATATATTACTAAAATTCGAAATTACAACTATAAAGAGGATAGTTTTGATTTATTTTTGACAAATTTATTATTGCTAAAAATAGAACTGAAAATAGAAAATAGAATTGTTAGAACTATCTAATTTACAAATTTCTTACATCATATTACATGCATGAAAAATTAAATCAATTAGATTGATTGATACCAAAAGATATTAGGAAGATTATTACTGAGTCAAAAGAATAATCTAGTAGCATGAAATGTTGGAATACTCCAATGCAGGACGGGGCAAGAACCCTTGTATCTTATCAATAAAACTCGAGACCCGAGATAAGGTAGTCGGATCAATCTGATAAGAATGTCTGAACCCTAGACTCTAGGTCTAACCATGTAACCTAAGTACAGGTAGGCGTACCAATATGTAATATCAACCCAAGACAACTCAAAGAAACACTTGATGATGGTAAGTGAGGCCCTCTCAGTCCACGTTTGGACAGACAGCAGAACAGTCGTCGTGAGGTAGCCTAGGGCTACAGCTCACGATCGGTGACAAATCTAGCACAACATCAGAAGTCACAATCCGATAACCATCCTATCTTGTCTACGTTCTCCTGATGGCGGTGGAGACGAGCCGAGAAAACCCTTTGAGAGATAATTAGACTTAAGAGGAAGGGGCACGGAGCTAACCTTCGGGGCTGCATAGCCCGATGGATCGTGATGGAGCAAAGATTTGATGAAGGCATAGACGTCCAGTGAAGAGCGATGCTCAGCATCGATGGTCGGTCTTAGTTGAGAGTCACAGAAGTCGTTGTCTTAGGGTGTGGCATAGTCGATGTGGGCGTGGGCCTATAGGTGGGCTGAAGGGCACGCTAATAGGCATGGGCCCACTGGTGGGCCGAAGGGCATGCTAGTGGGCGTGGGCACACTGGTGAGCTGAAGGGCACGCTAGCAGGCGCATGCAGCAAGCTGCACAGCGTGCCCTAGGGCACGCGGGCAGTGGCGCAGGGTGGGTGCACGGGCCGTAGGAACTAGCGTGTGGGGCACACGCAGCGGTGGCACTTCGGCAGGAATGTTGAGCGTTAGTAGTGCTTCGGTGGGAGGTCGAGCATCAGTAGTGCTTCGGTGGGAAGGCCAAGCATCAGCAATGCTTTGTCAGGAAGGCCAAGCATCAGCGGCGCTTCGGCGAGAATGCCGAACGTCGGCGGTTGGGTGGCAAACCAACTGTTGTTGGAAGGGTCGGCCTTCTCTAGCAGCATCGGGAAGTGGAGGAGAGGAAGGAGACTATCCGGCCAGCAATACCAAGGAGGGTTGAGCCCTCCTAATCTAGGCAGCGCCAGAAACAATGCGATGGCGGCACATCATTGGGAAGCTCTGACAGGGGCTTGCAAAGCTTGGACTGGATCTAGGTCATCAGCACGGCTGCAGGGTCTCTTCTGACGTCAGTTGCAGATCGACGTTCGTCAGCAAACGGCCAGTGACTGGGTAGAGCGGCGGAGGGCAGCTCCAGCGAGTTTATGGTGAAGTTCTAGAGGAAGAGGCAACAGTCGAATTAGGAGTCGAGAGACTTTGGTAGAGTGCTCAGCGATGGCTCATAGTGAGGCAAAGCAAGCCCCTTTGACGTGACTCAGTCGTTGTATATTAAATCACGCAAATATAAAATTTATAAAACTAGAAAATACGAATTTTTAGATATTTAGAAGTATTTCTAAATAAATATATCAATTATAATTCAATAAAAATTCCAAAAATAGTAATAATTTTCCAATCGATCACAGGGATGTAATATAATATCTAGTAATTATTCAGAATTTTTCTCAATAAATATGATTTTCTTACGAATTTTATACTAGGAAATAAAAAGGAAATATATTTAAAATTCACGAAAAAAAAGGAAATAAGGGTGCGAGCATCAAGATGATGTCAGCGCCCGGCGAACGCAAATTAGGCAAAAACAGAGTTCCACCTGGCGATTCTTACGTAAGCGATTACAGACAACTTAATTAATCAAATTAAGATCTGTAAAAGTCGGAATAATCGTAATTTAATGAAGTATAGTTTGGTAAATTAAAATCACACAAAGTATCACTAAATGAAGCGTAAATTAAATTGAAAGCAGGAAAACAGAGTTTTGGCGTTGCGACGGCGATGCGTCGGCGATGCACTGAAATCCTGAGTGTTCAAGAGGATCGTCGTGCAGTGTCCACGGCCTCGAAAGCTCTCCTTGGACAAAGACGACGTGGGCAATCTCTAGATCTTCTCGCGAAGTCTAGAGATCAATGAAGTGGGTCGTTGAATCGTCTCCAGCGGCTGTCACCCGGCGGAGTGGAAAAACGACGACTTTACGGCTCTCCAGCGGCTGTCACCCGACGGAGAGGAGCTGGATGGAGGTGGGGCGCATGTTAGGGAGCTTCATCCTCAGGTCTGCGCAGCAAGAGGAGGCTCTTCATCACATCTGGTACACTCTCAGGAGGTGGCGACTGGTCTCCCGACGAATCGTCCTCTTCCTATTGACGGCTTGTTTGTCAATCAATCGGAGATCATTTACTCGATGGATTTGCGATCTTTTTATCGCGAATCGTTCAGTAATTTTAGTAGCAATGCTCGGCGAATCGCGTTGACGAGATTTTCGCCGATGATCCAGCGATTCTCATTGCTTAATCCTTCACCGGCGATCTGCAAGAAAGTCGCAATAATCAAATAAAAATATATGAATTTTGACTCTAGAAGGATTCGAACCCGCGTCGGTTGCCCACCTCTTCTCAAGAAGGTGTGACGGGGGTTTAGTCTCACATTAGTTGTACGCCGATTTTTCGGGCGAATATATAGTAATGTTAGCTTTGTAAGCAAAGTCCCTTCTCTCACGTGTACGACCACTCCTTGCCCCACAGCCAGCTGGCCACTGGTGACGTAGAAGGGGAGTGGCGTACGCGTGCCCTGTCGGTCCCCAAGCCAAGCCGCTCGAGCCCTTGCTTGCGGCTTAGTCCTCGACTACGCTTCTAACCCGCTTGCGGGCCCGGCTGGCCGGCGGGTCCCCCCATTTTTGCAGTATTTTTATTTTTATTTTTATTTCTTGTTCTTCATTTATCTCAAAAGTAAGACTGTAAAAATCATATAAAATCACATAATTACCCAAAAATTCAAGTTAATCAATTGAAAACCAAAAATCATTCTTTAACACAAATATAAGTCTATTTGTCATGAGTTAAGGCTAAAACTATATTATTTACTAATTCTTAACTCACGATAATGAAGACTTATCACTTTCATCATGATGATGTGATGGGGTTCCAGTAGAGGCGGCGGCGGCGGCTATAGCGGCAGCCGCGACCATTTTGTCCGGTGATGGTGGCGAGCTCCCAGGTGGCAATGAGATGGCCGATGGTGGCAGTGGTCTCAGGTGGTGGCAAGACTTCTCGGGCAGCAGCATCATGAGGAACGAAGTCCTTGAAGGGGGTATCGACGGCCTTCCTCTTCCTCCTTCCCTCCCTATCCTAGATCACAGAGAAGGTACTCACAAAATGATAATCTCTCTCAAAAATATAGTGCTCTTTTGAGGAGGGATCCTACCTCCCCTTATATGGGGGCCCACAAGTGGGCTAAGGGGAAGTGGGTCCACTTGAGACCCTCAAGCCCATAAGCCACAAAGGCTACAAAAGGGGCTTATTAGGCCTCTTAAAGAGAGACCCAATAAGCTTCCCTAAAAGGAGAAAGAGGAGGGCCCTCTTATGGTGCTTAAGTGGGCCTCAAATGAAGACCCAAATAAGCCCTAAAAGAGGCCCAAAAGGAAAGACACATAGGTCCCCCCCCTTAGGGTTTTAATTGGGCCTCAAAGAGAGACCCAATAAATCCTAAAGAAAAGGAGACAAACAACAACACACACATAGAAATGGGCCCGCTAACACACAAATGTGAGGCCCAACAAGTCAATGTGAAAATACAAAGAAAGATACGGGTGAGCTCGAGCTTGTCGTTGTCGTAGAGGTGGAATGTTGTCATCCCAAAGGGCTAGGCCATGTAGCGAAAGCTAGCCTCCATCTTCGTGCATCGATCAAGCTGAACTCAAATTGCCGATGTCTCTTGAGCTGGTGGAGACGGGTCCTGCTCGCCATCATACTCCTTCGATACATAATAGATAACATGGATTTGATTTTATAGATTTTCACTTCATGATCTTGATGGATAGTACTTACTTGATGTGAAAATTTGATTAATCATTTGAGTTTAATAGAGATTTTTGTACCCCGATCTATAAGACTTGTGAGAAAAAATCACTTATTTCAAAAAAAAAAAGAAAGAGAGAGCAATGTGAAAAATCTAGAAATGAAGAGTACACATAGAGGGTGTGAGACATCATTCTCATTATCAAAAATTGTGCATAGAAAAACACTTACTGCAAAATAAGTGGATAAAGTAAAAGTCCTAAAAATGAAGTGTACACATGGAGGTTGTGAGACATCATTCTTATTGTCAAAATTTATCTACAGAAAAAGCTACTTATCCACTATATATATAAAAAAAAAGAGAAGGAAGAAATATAATGCAAACTTAAAAAATCAAGCTATGGAAAAAAGGAAATGTAAGATCAATATATATTCTTGGATGAGTATTGATAATTAGAACATCTTGTAAATATATCTATGAGTGAAGAAATGATAAAGATGTGAATAGAAGAAGCGAAGTCTAGATTGTTATTCCAAGGAATGCTTAAACATTTAAGTGCTTGACATCATTCTTAAATACTTGATATAAGAATCCAAAGTGTCTAAAGGTGCATCATTTCTGATTGTATTTTTTATCTTTTTATGTACTGAAATATGATGTTTGAGATTTATAAATTTTTATTTTCGTAATTCCATTGCTAAGGGACTAGCAATGATTTAAGTTGGGGGGTGTGATAAGTCTTAATTATCATGAGTTAATAATTAGTTAATAATATGGTTTTAGCCTTAACTCATGATAAATAGACTTATATTTGTGTTAAAGTGTGAAAAGTTGTTTTCAATTAATTAACATAAATTGTTAGGTAATTATGTGGCTTTATATGATTTTATATGATTTTTATAATCTTACTTTTGAGATAAATAAAGAAAAAGAAATTAAAATAAAAATAAGACAAAATGGGGGGACCCGCCGGCCAGTTGGGCTTACAAGCGGGTCAGAAGCGTAATTGGGGAGTAGCTGCGAGCAGGGGCTCAAGCGGCTTGGACCGATTGGGCACATGTTCACCACCCGCCTTTCATGTCATTAGTGGACAACTAATTGTGGAACAAGGAGTGGTCGTACACACGTGAGAAAAGGACTTGATCAGAAATGTAGTATTACTATATATTCACTAGAAATTTCAACACACAACCGATGTGGGACTTTTTAACCTGCGTCACACCTCCCTAGAAAGGGTGAGGAGGCAACCGACGTAGGTTCAAATCTTCCCAAAGCCAAAATTCATATTTTGTTTATTTGATTATTACGACTTTCCTATAGATCGTCGGTGAAGAATTAAGTAATCAGAATCACTAGATCATCGGTGAAAATCTCGTCAACACCATTCGCAGAGCATTGTTACTAAAATTGTTGAACGATTTGTAATAAAAGCATCACGAATCCATCGAGTAACTCATCTCCGATTGATCGACGAACAAGCTGTCGTTGGGAAGAAGACAATTTGTTGGGAGACGAGTCACCACATCTTGACAACATACTAGACGTGATGAAGAGCCTCCTCTTGCTGTGCGGATCTAAGGATGAAGCTTCCTGACATGCACCCCACCTCCATCCAGCTCCTCTTCGTCAGGTGACAGCCGCTAGAGAGCTACAAAGTTGTCATTTTTCTGCTCTATTGGGTGACAGCCACCAGAGACGATTTGATAACCCATTTCATTGATCTTTAGACTTTGCAAGGAGATCTAGAGATTGCCCACGTCGTCTTTGTCTAAGGAGAGCCTTCAAGGCCATGGACACTACATGATGATCCTCCCAAATGCTCAAGATTCTAGTGCATTACCGACGCATCACCACCCTGACGTTGGAACTTTATTTTCCTGCTTTCAACTTAATTTTTGTTTCCTTTAGTGATAATTTATTGATTTTAAATTTACAAAGATATACTTCATTTCATTACAATTCTTCCAACTTTTGTAAGAATCACCAAGTGGAACTCTATTTTCACCTGATTTATGTTCGCCAAGCACTGACATCATTTTGACGTCTGCACCCCTATTTCTTTTTTTTGTAAATTTTAAATATATTTCCTTTTCATTTACTAGTATAAAATTCATAGAAAATAGTATTCTTTGAGGACAATTCTGAATAATTATTAGATATTATATTACATCCCTCTGATCGACCTAGAAAATTATCATTATTTTTCAAAGTTTTATTAAATTATAATTAATATATTTATTTAGAAATATTTCTAAATATCTGAAAATTCATATTTT